AGATACCCGTGCAGGAGGGAGCGGCGGAAGCGCAGACCTCGCTGCACGCTGCTGTTCACTTTTGTAACAGACCTGTTCGGAAAGTCAGTTGCAAGGGCGGTAGAGTGAACGGTGAACGGTACGAGGGCCTCAGGCGGCGCCGCAGTCTCCCCTGCAGTCTGCAGGTCTCGGCCTCCACCCCACGACCAGTGGGCCAGCCGAGGCTGAAACCCCGCGCCCCTCTCAGATCCGGCTCCCGCACAGCCCTGCCCGGTAGCAGTGAGCCCGATCCCCGACCGCTCTCCGAGCTGGGCCGCTGTCATCGCAGCAGTGTCCTGCCTCCAAGCTCTGGAGACCCGAAGGCTGAAGTCCAGGCGTCGGCAGGCCGCTCCAGCTACTCGGGCTTCCTGGGCACCTGTCCCCTCTCCTGACCGAGCAATTCCCCCTCCGCCTCTCTGCTCTGAGGACCCAAGTCCGTGGGATTCAGGACCTGCGGGCAGGCAGCACAGGAGCCCGCCCCAAGGCCTTTAACTGGAGCGCATCTTCAAAGGCTTCCCCACGCAGGGCACATCCGCGGAATCTGGGATGCGGACACGTCTTCTGAAGAGCCCCCTCCTGCAGGGTCCCTGTCATGCTCTTTTACTGTCTGACTGCGCTTCGAGCTCTGAGGGTCCTGGACATTGGCTTCGGGTCACACCAGGCCTCTTCACCAGCTGGCCGGGAATGTGAAGCCCTTGGACAGCTCAGGACGCCCGCGAGATGCGATCTCCCCCCGCTCCGCCTCCGCCACAGCAGAGACCGGAAGGTCCAGCTCCTCGCTTGCTGTGACAAGGAGGCGCCGTCTCCGTCCTCCCGCCTGTGTGACCCAGTGCTAAGGACACATCGGACACGGAGTCCGAGCTGGGGCTTCCACGCCCCGCCGCCAGCTGCTGGCCACGGACGTTCATGTTCTAAGGTCTGGCGCGGGGACTCTGAGTTAGGGCGGTTTAGAGCCTCTGACAGGCTCTAAACCTCTCTGTCTCCTGATCTCTCTTAGTGGAGACTCGAACTTGCACACGAGGCTGCAGCAGCTCCTGTCCTCCCGACGGCACACGGGAGGCTGCGGATCCAAGATCGAGCTGCGAGGGGTCAGCACCCTTTTCCAAAGAGGGAAGACAGCAGCTCCCTGCCTGTCAGACGCCAGAGGAGAAACTGCGCTCAGCACTCTGTTCTTTGGGAGAGAGAGTCCCTGCCTCAGCCCACAGGAGGGCTAGGGAGGGACGGTGCGGTGAGTTAAGGTGTTTTCCTCAAAGAGGATACTTACTCTCTTCAAAATCCACGGAGGGTTTAACCTTCATTTTCTTTTTCTCCTCTTTAAAAGGAAAAGATTTCTTTGATAAAACAGTTTAGTTTTTCCAAAGAAAATTTCCAGGGAGACCAATTTATGAAACGAAAGTCTATAGGAATCATCTCGTGGTGGATATTGCATTTGTTTTACTACAGTAAACATTTCACCATATGTGTATATATGGCAAGATCTTGCCTTCCACATCTGTCTTATAAACACAATCGAAATAAATTTAAAAAGGAAGAAGAAAGGCTTCCATCTGGGAGGAGGTGCTGACCTGGGTTCCAGGGCCTCTCTTGGCAGATTTTGGGGAGCAAAGCACAGATCCGGGAGCAGGAGATTCCGGGGGGCCGTGACCTGTGCCCAGGGGCTGTTGCTGCTGGGAGAGGACTGTGGGCTCTGAGGGGAAGGTTGGCTGCCATCAGCGGGAGGAGTGCTGCCACCCCACGCTGAGAGGGGACGCTGCGGTCCACGACACCCAGCACCTCCACCCCAGGATTCCAGCGAGGAGTGTGGGGCACGCTGCAGCCTGGCCCAGGCTTCACACCAGCCCAGGCACAGTGCCGGGAGAGGGGCGCTGCTCTCTTAGGTTCCTGTGTCCCTTCTACTGTGGGGACCCGACAGCCTACGTGTGTGGGGAATTCAGGCCCTGCCTGTGAGCCGCAGAGCCCGCTGTCCCTGCCTGTGGGACCGTCCTCCCGTGTGCAGCCCCTGGCCTTCGCTTCTTCCAAGGCCGAGCCACTGAAAGATGAGGTGAGGAAGCAGGTTTATCTCCCAGAACAGGCTTCCCTCTCCATTCTCTTACCCACTAAAGGTTGCGGTTTTCTTGCAAATGCAAATGTGCTTTGCTCTCTTAGCCGGCTGGGAAGCGCCTGAGTTGTGAAGACTGGAAACCGCACCAGATGTAAACGTGCTGCTAAGATAGCACATGTGTGCTCTTCCGCATCAACCAACCCACGATGCCTTTCTGGATGCTCACAAGTCACTCTCGTCTCACACGCAGGTGTCTGTGTCTGTGTACATATTTATCTATATTCTTGTACCAGAAATCTCTGGATTTCTAATGCACTCTAACCCTGAGAGGCCAACATCACTAATTGTTTTCGTGGCAGGAACCACTGTGGGTATATGTTTACCACCCACAAGTACTTGCCTTGGGGATGGCGACAGTAACAGGGATGGGCCAGGCTTTCCTCTAGAAGGTGGTAGGGCTGGAGAAACCAAACCCAGGAAGACCCCCGTGCACAATGCTCCTGTTTGCAAACAATTCAGTTCACAAGAAAAGTCTTTTGGCAAAGTTTTGCTTCGGTTTGCAAACTCCACATGAGTGACAAACATGAGCAAAGTCATCTTCCCCAAAATCGTGTTAAGTTTGTAAATTAAGTTCATAAAACGAGGTACCACTGTAATACCAACACAGCACAACGACAATAATAGTACTGATGATTGTACTAATAACCAGTATAGCTGCTTTTAAAATTCTGAATCCAGCTAAATCAGCATGCATGCATATTAAATGGGCTGTGTTAGGGAAGTTATATGACAAAATTTTAAAAGAATTTCTCCATAGTTAGCAGTACTAGAGGAAAATGTATTTTTAGCTGACAGATATCCCTGCAGAAGACTCTCATAATCTCTGATTTATTCAAGGAAACTAAGAGCGGGATGAAGGAAACGGTGCAGTCACAGCAGGAACATGGCAGAGGTAGGTTCGGGCAGTACTTGTTTCTAGTCGCATCTCGTAATAACAGTTTGGGGAGAGCATTGGCTCCGAGCAGGAGTAACGAGTTAGGGACTGGCATACACAGGCACCCTCAGCCCACAGCCCGCATCCCCACCCCTGCACCTCAGACCTGCAGCAAGGTTTGTGTGGGGTGCAGGGTGCCCCCTTCAGGATGCTGCCGGCTGCCACAGCTGCACACTGAGCACACCCTGGCCACAGCCGTGCAGTGGGGAAGTGGTAGTGACTCGCTGCCCTGTGGAGGACTGAGGGTGTCCTGCTTCTTTCTGTTCTGTGCGTCTCCCTGCAGCCTTGTCTCGAATTCCCCAGTCATCAGCGCATCAGCCTCCTGCCCTGTACCCTAGCCGGGCTGGAGAGCTGGCCAGGGCTGAGAGTCGGACACAGGAGCACCCAGCAGAGCTCTCAAACTCCTGCTGAGGCCGGAAAGGGAGCTAGGAAAGCAGCAGAGTCCTCCTGCTTTCAGGCTGCAATCAGAGGGGACCAGGAAGATGCCGGAATGACCTGCGTGGGAAGCCACGTTTGGCCACAGGGCTGCAGTCTTGCTGGCTGCTCTAGCCAGGCTTAGAGGGCAGAAAAGAAGAGTTTGTGGTGTCTGGGAAACAAAGACAGGCTGTGAATGGAGTTGGAGAGGCCTCGGGAGTTGTCCTCCTTGACCTGAAAGAGGACTGGCAACTGAAGCAGAGACCATACGACGAGGTAAAGCAACATTTCATGCAGCAAAAATACTCCGGAAATTTAGAAGGCGCTGGAAGGGCTGCAGGGTTGAGACTCATTCTTACAACAGGAGACCGAAAACTAAATATTTGATGCTGGTGTCCATCTCCAGGGTTGTGTGGAAATGCTCTCTCAGGGCAGGTTCATCTCGGCCTGGATTACCTGCCAGTATGGACTCAAGGAGCTATTTTCCCATTAGGAGCTTAACTCTCGAAGTCCGAGTGCCCATTTGCTAAGTAAGACTTTCTCCTGCTCTGGATGTCAGCCTACATCTGCCTCGGTGTGAAATGCACACCTCTGATGCCTTTCTCTCCCTGCTCAAGCATCTCTTTGGGTCCCTGGGCTGGATGTGATTGATGACCTCCTGTCGTCTTTGCCACAGTTTTGGACCCTAAAATCAGAGCCGGGCTGTTCAGTCAGCTCTGGACCATGTGATCTCACTTCCCTCTTGTCTTATCCCCGCTGGACTTGGCTTTGGAGAACAACTTGGAGGCATTTTGGTCGAAAAATACCACTTAATTCCATGGCCTTTCTATTCTTCCATGTCTCCTGGGCAAGCTGAGTGATCAGCTACCTCTTCACATTTCACAGCCGCAAGTGGAACACGCTTCTATTCACTTTTCTGGTCCCCTCCACTTTGCTCAGCGGGCTGGTGGGTTGTGTTTGGAGGAGGGAGCTTGCAAGAGCCCTAAGCCAGCAGCCTCCAGGATGACACAGTCACATGCACCCCCATCACCACCTTTCTTGAGCCTGAGTGTGTCCAAAATGTGTGACCGGAGCCCTGGCAGCGTGGATTCACACCCACTCAGCACTGATGCCTCTGGCTGGCGATTCCACTCCACCCAGCTCTGAGTACAGAGGGACATGCCTCCTCCCTGGCGTATGGAACAGCGCGAGACGCGAGCCCGGGTCTGTGTCCGAGGCTTGGTGCTTTCATGGCAGCACTATTTTAAATGCCTTTTGTGAAGTTAGCCTTTTACTGGAAAGCAACCCAGCATACATGGTGCAACTAAAAACAAGAATACTTTTAAAATGGTAAAGTGCCACCTTCTTATGCGTTAGTCCCATGGAGGGTCTGAAGTATAAACATGTGGGACAGATTCAGATATTTTTATTGCACTCCAGGTCCTCAGCTTTTCTTTCCCAGAGCAAATTATTTCTTAATTGAATCTGCTCTTTGCTTTCAGGATTACCCTGAAAAGCCCTTCTGCAATCCAGCGTACCCATTACTCACCTGCTTCAGCTGAGGCCCGACTCCCCGTCGAGGGCCACTGCTCCACCAGCTGTAACCTGCCTGGCTTGGTCTGCTCGCAGGCAGTGACTGATGAGCAGCTGCTGCTAGAGGCAGAGTCCCAGGTCGGGGCTCAGATCTTGTCTGGTGAGGACCCACTTTCTTGCAGAGACTGTCTCCTCACTGTGCCCCGCATGGAGTCTCTTCTGAGGGCACTGATTCCATGCACGACAGCTTGATCAGCCCCAAAGCCCCACGGCCTCTCAAGCATCTCGGGTGAGGGGCTCAGTGTATGACGCTGGGGGCTGCACCCACCTGCCCTCCACTCAGTGTTCAGTTCCCCCGCCCCCATTCCTGCTCTGAGAGAGGGAGCCGTGGAATAAGTCGTATTTATTCCAAGTCATATTTAGTGACATCAGCAAATTAGGCTTCTCGGTGTGCAGGCAAAAGCATTGTAACTGGATCCACTCAAAAATTATACAACGAATCTTTCTGATCACACACGGGACTGGAAGCACCGAGCTAACGAGCCTGAACACAGGGGAAGATCAGCCTTCCGCTTGGCTCCTGAGAGGCCACTGAGAGGAACCCTTCACCTGGTGCAGCCACCTGGCCCTGCACCACCAGGTCAGCCACGGGTGGACAGGGCACCTCTCCCTTGGGGCAGGCTCTTTTGGATTCGAGTCAGACGGGGCTTTTTGTTTTGTTCTGCTTTTCACTATCCCGGGCATCCTCTTTAGGACTCACTTTCCCTGTCCTCTTCCAGTCCCTCAGAATCACCGCATGTGTGTGAGTGTGTGAAAGACAGAGACAGAGGCGAGCAGGTGGCACTGTGGACACCCCAGTGGCACTTGGCAGTGTCCCAGACGGGAGTCCGGAGCCCCTGAGGACAGGACTGTCGGTGCCAAGTGACCTGCCGGGGGCGCCGCCGGTAACAGAGCAGGCTGCGGCAGGAGGACCGCGGCTTCCGTGAGCAGCAGATGGGGTAAGTCTGTGCTCAGCCACTATGAGCGGTGTGGAGCCAACTGAGGTGCCCGGCTGCTGTGTTAGTGACGCGCTCAGCACCCGAGGCTCACCCGGCTCCTGGTCACGCTGCCCCATCCAGAGCCTCCTGCTCGGAACCCTTCCCTCTGGGGCTGCTGAAGTGTGACCTGAGCTTGGCAGTCTTCATTGACCCCAGAGCTGGGGACTTGGGCCCTAAGGTTCACTACACTCTCCCCTGCCACGCGCTCGGAGCGGAAGCGGGCCTGCAGTCGGGTCTCTGGGCAGACTCCAGCCACCTGTGGACCTCTCGCTGTCTTCCCCCGGCCTCTTGGGTCCCAGGGATAAAAAGATTGACGTCCAAGGCTGCCCCTGGCGGGATAGGCAGCATGACGCCGAGAGGCTTCTGTGTTGTGTCTCAGTCACGCAGCGGCTACCTGAGCTCGGGGGGACTTCCTGGAGCTGCACCTGGGCCCTTTGGCAGAACTGGGCCCCACACACTTCAGAGCACAAACACACAGCCGCTTCACATCTGAGACGCCTACTTACTTCACCCGCTGGGTGCCCGTGTGATTTACCTCTTCGGTCCAGTTTTCACTCACCTGTAATCTGTAGCAATCGCTGGCCTGCTGACTGCAGTGTAGACTACGGAGACTTTGCTCTGCTTTTATTCTTCACGTGAAATGTGTTTTAACAAAGCCTTTTACGGGATTTCAGGTATTTTGACACTTCTTAGTACTTTATGGACCTACTGATTCTACCTTTTAAGACTCTGTTTGGACAATTTTCCAACACAAGAGTGGAGTGCTAGAGAGCTTCCAAGGAGCCTGAGTCCCACACCCAGCAGGGCAATCGTAAGCAAACCCTAGCTTTGCTTTCTCTGCGCTGGTGCCCATTCTTCCTCCATGGTCAGACTGTGCCCAGATGAGTGCTGGACAGTGGATCATTTTACTGATGAGCAGTTCAGTCTGTGTTCCTAAAAGTTAAGGTCTCTCATTCTGCTGCATCTATGAGACTGCCATTGCGTCTACCTTGTATATTGCACCTATACTTCTATAACATCATGATCAGTCAGTTGGGATTTAGATTCCGTCAAATTAACCAGACCTTTAACCTCAGAGAGTTGCAGTTTCTTTACTCAGATGTGATTTCCAGAGAGAGTAGCCAGTGTCTGTGGTCAGCCACTGGATGGCTATGCTAGATCTAGCAGGAGCCTTTGGAGATCAGGGTGATCCACTCTTATGGAAATGCTGGATATTCCCTGGCGACGCCACATACCAAGGCCCAGGAGTACTGGTGGCTCCGAGAAGGCAGGGGCAGGGAGCAGTGACCACCCACAGGCACTGGGGAAGCAGGCTGAGCAGGAGGTAGCCAAGGGTGTCGGAGAAAGTGTTCTCCTCCTTCATGGTCAGCAGGTGACACGGAGGTCAGGTCGAGGCCCTAATTATAGGGTGAGGAGATCACATTGCTCACAGCTGCCTTCACACATTTCCCACCCGCCCACGTCACACAGCCTGGGGGTGGAGGGCAGAGGGGAGAGGCCGGGCTTGGCTCCTCCTCACACCCCAGAATGTTCTTTCCAGTTGGCACCAGGGGCCACGGCAAGAGTGGAAACCCCTTGTCGTAGTCACTTCTGCATTGGTGACACACAGTACCTGCCACACAGGACTTAGAGCCTGGGAGGCTTAGGGTTTCAGAGGGTTCAGCCCATGGTTGATTGCTGTCAAAGCAGAAGCAGCACGGTGGACAGGCCTGCTGTGGAAGAGAGTTGCTTGCAACACAGTGGCCAGGATCCAGAAGCAAAGAGAGGAGCCAGGGAGGGACAGGCACGCTTCCAGGCCCATCCCAGCGACCACCTCCAGCCCGGCCCTGCTCCTAACACAAATCAGCTATGGTGTCCCCATGATGCAGCCTCTTTCCACAGGTGCTGGAATCTGGGGAACGTAGCACCCGTACAGCACGGAAGGGCCGTGCTGCTCCCCTGCTCCCCGCAGCGCCCTCCTCAGGGGCAGCCATGTCCCAGCACCCTCTGGACAGCCCGCTGTGCTCCCGCCCAAGCCTGTCCCCAAGCCTACCCCTGGGGCGGTACTAGAGTCAGGGCTGCGGTGGGCCTGGATGCCCTGAGCAGGGTCTGTCCGGAGGGGGTGGAGCTCCAGGAGGCTGGGGTGGCAAATGTGGGCACGAGGCACAGGGACAGTCACCAACTCCGCCATCAGCCTCCTTTCCAGGCTGTGGAGAGAAGAACGTGTCCAGAGCAGAGGCCACTTGGGGTGGCCCCGGTGGGCACAGGGCAGGTTGCTTCACACTGCAGCGTGCTTCTTGCGTCCACTGCCACCCACTCACCACGGCAGCACCACGTGGTCACCAGAGGGAGAAGGACCCTCGCCGCCCACAGCCTGGTCCTGGTCACACAGGGCTGTCCACCTGGCCGCCCACAGACTCCCACAGGAGCATGGTGCTCGCTTGGCCTTCAGGCTCTGTCCTCAGTGGGGACTCTCATTCTTTGTCCAGCATCTTGCTCCTTCCTAGGCCTCAGTGTAAACGTCCCAGCTCTGGCCAGCTGCTGCAGACCCAGGAGGCCACAGGATGCTGCTGTGTAGTCCCGTCATGCCCTGTCCCTCTGCATGCCTCGCTGGTGCCACTGCTTGCCTGTGAGTGCATGTTCCCTGCTTGACCGTCACCAGCAAGGCCCACCCCACCTCCCACACTGGACTCAGTTCAGGCACAGGAGGCTCCGAACACTGGTGCTGAGGAGGTCAGGTGGGGTTGGGACTCAGCAGAGCTACCCAGGGAACAGGCTGAGACTCTGAACTGGCTTAAGATCTCGATAAGGCACCTAAGTTACCAGGGCTGGAAACATAGCTGGATTACACAGAAATCTATTGTTAAAGAGACAGGAAGAAGGGTAAGAAGGAGGGGTGGTGGCCCTTCGTCCCTGATGCTCTGGGGGGGACAGCGTCAGCTTCCTGTGGGTGGAGGGCAGCAGTCTGGCATCTCAGAGCCCAGCACCTGGGGCCCCTCCAGACTGCTGCTGCTCCAGAGTGGAGCCCACTGTGGAAGCGGCATCCCCGAGGGCTGCTTGCTGGTCACTGCCCCATGTGCCTGGGGCCCTCGAGTGCACCATCTTTCAGGGCTGCCAGGGCGGCCCCCTGGGGAGCTGAGTCACAGTGCAGCCCATCCTTCTGCTGGGCAGCTCCCACTCAACAGCAGCAGGGTTTCTGTATTTCATTATGAAGTCAGATTTCCTAAAACTTCCACTCATGCACCCCAGTTACAGAGAAACACACTGTGACTTAATCCCCGCCGAGGTGCAGACCCCGAAATGTACATCCATGAAACCCCGCAAAGAGGCCCTGTCAACCGGACTAATGGTCAGGTGAAATGTAAGCCAGAGCTGAGCTGTTATTAATTCAGGTTTCTGTTAGCATGATGGTGGATTACACTTTGCTCTGGGCTCACTTCTTCATTCGACATCACTGTACTTGAATTCACGTCCTGACCTACTCATAAGTTATTAGCAACTAGCTCAGTTGCTTTGTTTAGTTCCTACACCATTTCCCTATTTTTAGATCATCACTGTGTCTGGGAAGAATAGATGACCTTTGGTTTCTTAAGTGTGTGGCAGCCTGAGGTTTCAGAATTTAGGGACATGGTGAGTCTCTTCCCACAGCGGCTGCGGCCTAAACTACCTGAGCTACGCTTGAGCCCCCATGGCCCTCACCTGGCTCTGAAGACCCGACGCCCTTCCCCCAGGGCTTGCCGTGTAACTCAAGCCTCCTCTGGGAGACATCCTGAAGCCACACTGCACCCCCCGCAAGCGAAGTCACAGCGCTCAGCTCTCTGCAGTGTCATTCCAAGTCACTGCCAGGAAAATGCGATGGAGCCTGCAGAGCGAGAACAGTGAGAATGGATGCAAGCAGGCCCTGACACCAGGGCCCCCGGGAAGGGCACACGTGTTTCCCTGCCCTGCGTGTTCCATGTACTGGGAATGGAAAGGGCCGAGGGCTGACACAGGTCCTCCTGGTGTGCATGCCTTGAGTGAACATCAGTTTGATGTTCCCAGCACGTCAGAGTTGTCTTGGCGAGGCAGCCTTTTCTTTCTTCTTCAGGAGATCTTTGAATTTAACAGCGGTCCTCAGCCAGGGTGGGCTTGCTAAATAGCTACATCACTGACCAGCTGGCTCGAGGTGAGGAATTCGAGTACTGAGTCTCAGTTTCTTTCCCCTGAATGCGTGGCTTGGAAACCTTAATTCTAAGGCAAGTAATGTATGGTTCTAAAGTTCCATATTGTTTTCCATGCATGAAGTATAGCTTCGCCGTTTTTTCTCCCTCTCTCTCTCTCTCCCCCGCTCTCCTCTCTCACTGCTGGTTTACTTGTCTTCTGGTAAAGCGTCAGATGTTTCCAATGGCAGGTGACTGGTGGAGATAAGGTGCCTCATGAGATCCATGCACCCCGGGCTCCTTGTTCTGATTGGCCCATGCCCACACACCCTCAGGGCGGTTAGAAAGGAACTCCCCCAGGTGCCTTGTAAGACAGCCAGGGAAGCGCTTCCTGGGTGCCGGCAGCAGGGTTCAGGCAGAGTGAGGCAGGAGGGGGGTCCAGCTCCTTACCCTGGCATCCTCCCGTCCCCTCGCCTTCCCGGTGAGGGCGCCTCTGGCCCCAGACAGTCCTCTCTCCTGCGCTGAGACCTGAGCTCCCTGCCTCTCCCCATTTGTTCTCCAAAAGGAAATGCTGAGGCTGCACACTGAAAGGCTTTCAGATCGCATTTTCCTCTAGGGCCAGCAGCTGCTCTTCCCCAGGGCACAGCAGCTGCCTTTACAGCCTCAGCGTGCCGTGCGGGTGGTGACAGGGATACACACGGCCAACACCCAAGGGCACTGGCGCAGCGCGCAGAATTCGCCTGCCAGAGCATGGGCACCACGCCAGGCACGGGCGATG